GTGACGACACATTGATGTCCTAAGACACGAAACGATCGGTTTGTGCGAGAAACCGAACAGTATTTATATAATTTTTTACCTCTAATACACCACTATGTCCAACTGTCTTTGGGCGCGCGCACAGCATCCGGTGCGTGAGGTGTGTACGCGCTCCGGCGTAGTTTACGACTTTCCACGTATTCCCAACTTCTGAGCCTGCTCGCCTGAAGTTATGGTTGATTGCTCTTCGGCTGGATATCAACACACCCTTTAACGTAAACTACGCCAGAGCACGTACACAGCTCACGCACCGGATGCCGTGCGCGCGCCCAAAGACAGTTGGACATAGTGGTGTATTAGAGGTAACAAATGATATAAATACTGTTCGGTTTCTGGCACAAACCAATCGTTTCGTGTCTTAGGACATCAATGTGTCGTCGTCACGAGCCGCAGGGTTTAATTTGGATTTGTCTGCATATTTTTTTTACTCTCATAGATTTTTGTTACCAATAATTCTCACTGAACAGATTCAATCCAAGTGTGAGCTTAATTACAGCATTTTATATCAAATATTCTGTCATTTTTTATAATAGTGTGGTTATTTCAGAGAATGTCAGAGAGACAGGGACTGAGGGCAGACTCCACCCACTTCACTTTAGATGGAGCCCCATTTCGGATCCTCGGAGGCTCCATCCATTACTTTCGGGTCCCCAGGGCGTACTGGAGAGACCGGCTGCTCAAACTCAAGGCCTGTGGTCTCAATACTCTCACCACGTAAGACCATGACAGATTTTTACTTTTCCCCTCAGAATCTTCTTGAAGAGTTATATTCGTCATGTTTTGTCTGTCAGGTACGTACCGTGGAATCTTCATGAACCAGAAAGAGGAGTTTATCGTTTTCAGGAGGAGCTGGATCTGGAGTAAGTGATGTTGGTTTGTTTGTTTATTTATTTATATGAAATGTATTAATGATATTTCTGAACTATAAGAAGAAGAGTTTTACATGTGCTGAGGAAAATATTAGTAGGAAAATGCATGTTAGAGTTGTTAGAGGTGTTGCCTGTGTTCTGGGTGATTACTGTACCAAATATATTGGTTTTCATATATGGCTTGTTAGTTGTATGTATATTCAATATAAGTGCTTTTTTTCCTGGGTTTTTAAAACCCCACAATCACACTAACGGTCAAAAGCGGTTTTTTTTTACGGTTTTAAAAAGTCTTCTATGCTCACCAAGGATGCATTTATTTGGTCAAAATACAGCAGTATTGTGCAATATTATTAAGATTTTAAAAGAACCATTTTTTTTTTACGATATGTGATTTGATAACAAAGCTGAATTTTCATCAGCCATTACTCCAGTCTGCAGTGTCACATGATCAAGAAAACAGTTCTTTTAAATGATAGTAATATTTGAAAATATTACTGTTTTCAGTGTATGACTAGTGTATGAACCACAGTGAAGTTTGCCTCAAGAATAAACAGTTCATATCACATTCCATTTTAACAAATGTGTTCATTAATGTAACTAATTCTTTGCATGCTTTAAGGGGATACATTCGTCTAGCAGGGGAATTAGGCCTTTGGGTGATTCTGCGTCCGGGGCCGTACATATGTGCCGAGTGGGATTTGGGTGGGTTACCAAGGTTAGTGTCTCACCTGTTATGAAAATGTACTGTATATTTGTTTGTTTTCTTTAGTCTTTTTTAATAAAACATATTTAAATAAAACTATATATATATTTTTTTTAATCAGCTGGCTGCTGCAGGACAAGAAAATGAAATTAAGAACGACCTACTCTGGTTTCACAAGTGCTGTGAACTCATACTTTGATAAACTCATTCCGAGAGTCACACCCCTCCAGGTCAAATATGTGTTATTTTTGGTTTGTTGTTCTTCTACCACAGATTATATCTGATCTCCTTTAAAAGTCTTGCAGACAGTGAACCTACAGAAACTGACGTTTGGTGATGTACAGCATTTAGCAGAACTGCAGGTCAGTAAAAATTTTAGAATGTTTTCAAATTGGTCCTTATTTACAATTGTATTTAACAATTCATTTTGTTAAATGACTACAGTGTTAAAATGCCAACAGCTGTATTTTTCGCACAAATATCTACTAAATCTGCTATATATCCTGCAGCTCTTATACTGTATACTTTCTGAAGATGAAGTATGATTAAGAAATATGGCTTAAAACAAGGAAATCCCTAGTACTTGTTTGTAAAATAAACTATAGACAGCACAAAAGAGATTTGAATATTTTCTTTGCTGCAGCCACAGAAGCCGCTGATGGTGATGGAATATTGGTCTGGCTGGTTTGATGTTTGGGGGGAACCTCATCATGTTTTCTCTGCGCCAGGTAAAGAATCTGCCTCATCATGCCTCAAAGTGAGCATGTGGACATTGACACAGATGAACAGACCAGATAGAATGGACAATTTGTATCTAAGCTTACTTTTTGCCTGACGCAATGCCATAATATATATGAATGCATGAAAAACAATCCATTTGCCTTGCACGATCCTTTTCCTTTTGTTAGTATATATTCTAATGTCTGATAAATTCTCTCTCTGCTTTGACATGTATTGTGTCTGGATCTCTTCTGTTATGACAGAAATGATCTCTATAGTGCGAGAGCTTCTGGATCGTGGCATCTCCATCAATTTCTACATGTTTCATGGAGGAACCAGCTTTGGATTCATGAACGGCGCTTTTGACTTGGGAACCTACAAACCACAGACGAGCAGCTACGGTTCAGTAGTTTTAATATTCTTGACCACTGAGACAATGTATACTACCATTCAAAAGTTTGTAGTCACCAAGATATTTTTTTTTTAAAGAAATTAATTATTTTATTCAGCAAGGGCGCATTAAATTGATTAAAAGTGACAATTATACATTTATGTTTATAAATACAAACGTTTTGATGCTGTTCTAGAACTTTCTATTAATCAAAGAATCCCGAAAAAGTAATAAGCGGCTATGTTTCATCATTGATAATAATTAGAAACCTTTCTTGAGCATCAAATCAGCATATTAGAATGATTTCTGAAGGATCATGTGACACTGAAGACTGGAGTAATGATGCTGAAAATTCAGCTTTGCATCACAGGAATAAATTACTAAATATATTAAAATAGAAAACAGTTGTTTTAAATTTTAAAGGGGTCATAGGATGCCCATTTTCCACAAGTTGATATGATTATTTAGGGTCTTAATGAAAAGTCTGTAACATAGTTTGGTTAAAATTTCTCAATGGTAGTGTAAAAAACTATTTTTTTTACGTTGTCTAAAACAGCTCTTTTCAGATCAAGCCGTTTTTGTAGCATTTTCCTTTAAATGTTAATGAGCTCTGCTGACCCCGCCCCTCTCTTCTGAGCTGCTCTCTGAGGGACTGTTTACTTTAGCCACATTTAGAGACCTGCACTCCCGCGGTACCCAACGCAACAGGGTGCGTCGCAGGACAACTTTTGATGGGCGAGTGCGGGCGGGAAGAGACTGTGTGTGCGGGATGCGGGAGAATAAATTGATTTGCGGGACTCCCGCAAAATAGAAATTATTTAAATATAAAGTGTCTAAAACATATAAATTGTTATTTATCTGTTGTACAAAAGCAAAAAGAACAACTAATATTAACATTAAAATGATTGATATGCGCAAGCTAGGCATAGTTTCTGTTTATAACACGTGTTTAAAGGGTAGCGCAATGTAGCCAATCACAGACTCAGCTGTTTTTTTTTCTGGAACGCAATGGCCAATCAGAGGTTATTAAGTTAGTTATCTACTCACCACAGTGCTGAAATTGCGTGCTCACGAATCCTCATTTTAACACATGAAGTGTAGACATTGTGAAAGATTCATTGTGCATACATATATTGTGTTATAACTTTATGAGATGTCAGCTTTTAGTGATAATAAAGGAAGCGCTGCTCGCATTCTGCCATGCCAAACCATGCACGCAACAGCCCATGCTTGCTTTTCTGTTAAAAATAACAGTGGTTTGTTAATGTTGATGCTTAGCCTAAATAACAAATATGTTATCGGGAGTGTTTATGCTGGGATGTTGTGGAGCTTAGGAGATGTTACAGAACCATTTCATGTAAATTTCTTCGATGTACTGAAAAAGTCTATATAGATTACTTTTATGCGGGCTTTTGCGGGCGGGAGCGGGACAAAACATGAATGTCGCGGGCGGGAGCGGGACCAGATAAGATATATTTCTGCGGGAGCGGGCGGGCGCAGGACAGAATCTTGCGGGAGCAGGCGGGAGGGGACTGAAAAATCCGTCCCGCGCAGGTCTCTAGCCGCATTCATCGTGAAACTTGCTAATTAGCACATTATTAGGAAAGGCGATTTGCAAAGATTCATTAAAAAACCTTATACTCACTTCTTCTGTAGATGAGGCTGGATCATGAATGATTCGCGCGAACATAGACGCATTTAGGCAGATCGGGGAGCATTCTCTTCAAAAACAAACGTAATCCACTGCATCTTCAGCGGCTCAGATGTCGGGAGTAAATGACGACTGCTATGTTCATTATTACATCCAACAACAAAACACCTCAATCGCTTAGGAGTCATTCTTGTCTACATCTGCTCCGGCGGTGAAACAATGGCGGACTGATGACAGTCACTCAGGGCGGGTCTAAGGAAAGACACCAGTCCAGTCTGTGCTGAAACGCTACTGTCAATCAAACTATCGTGGGAGGGGCCTGTTTTTGTGACGTCACACAGACAGGCATCTGAGATCGGCTCGATTTGAGAAAGGGGTAAACATTTAACCAGATTTTTAAAAAAAACACTGGGTGGATTTTTATCATTATAGGGTGGTTGTGTACACACACTGCCAACACACATTTCAGTTCAAACTACTTGTAAAAGTGCATCCTATGACCCCTTTAAGTAATAATATTTCACAATATTACTCATTGTGATCACACAAATGCAGCACAAAAACATTTTAAAAATCTTTTGAACGGTAGTGTATGTGTGCTTTTACTCTTTTGGCACTTAAACATCGTCCCCTCTGCATCTCTTAGATTATGATGCTCCACTGACTGAAAGTGGTGATTATACAACCAAGTATCATCTCTTGAGGAACCTGCTGAGCTCCTACAGCAGTATGTTTCTACAATGTTGTCCCTGATTACAGAATCTGATGTTTTAAAAATGTATTTAAGCTCTCTGTACCTCTGTCCTTGTCTCTTCATGTCTGTCTGTCTGTATTTATGACCAGATGAGCCGATATCAGAGCCGCCAGCTGTGCAGAGCAGAAGAGCTTATGAGCCGCTGGCAGTTACTCATTATATTTCACTATGGGAGAGTCTTCAATGTGCAGAAACAGTAAGAACAGTGTATCCCACTATTATTATTTTTTTATTCACTTCTTTTCTTTCCTCAAAAATGGAACACGAACGAAGATTTTTGTTTCAAAATTCTCTCATCATTTTGTCTGTCCATTGAAAGTACACATAACCACCATTTTTCAGCTTTAAAAAGTTCATAAAGACATTGTAAAAGTATAGATCGAGCAGTCAGGTCTTATATGATGAACAGATTTAATTTAGGCTTTTATTCACATGTAAGCATTGATCAACATGGGCTCACCAAATATTGTAAACAAGCTCAACCATGCTTGCTTGACTTGTGAGAATAAACCTCATTTTTTTGTTTAGCATCAAACATACACATTTCAGAGTATACATGTTTTTATCAATAAATATCCTTTTTTACTAGAAAATGTGTTATATTAGGGAAGAATAATGTGTTTGCGAATACTGCTTCATGTTGAAAGGCAGTTCATGGTATAAGAAAAAAAACTAGATAGTTTAGAGGAGAACATACTTGGCAAGATATGTTCCCAAAATGACTAAAAACCATTTATCCAATAGCTTTTCAGAGCTGATGATCCTGTCAACATGGAGAGCCTTCCTGCAAACCACAACAATGGTCAGTCCTATGGATACACACTCTATCAGACTGACATTTATTCAGGTGGAGATCTCAACTCAAGGAACCATGTTCGTGACAGAGCTCTAGTAAGACCTTTTCCAGATCAATCCTGGCCTCCATAAAGGTTATTATGCATGACAATAAAGAACAAATTAAATCAAGGAGATCATTCTAATTCATATTTGTTTTGAAGGTGTTTATTGACAGAGAACTCATTGGTGTTTTAGACAATAGAACACAGAAAGTTAAAATACCTCACAGTAAGGTAAGTATGATGCATTGTTGGTTTATTAAGGTTTTACATAAACTAAACCTACCAAACAGAAACCAAAATTTAAAACAGGTTTGAGTAGTATGAATGCATTTCCCTAATTTCTGTTCACAGAGTGAGAGGACCTTGAGTTTGCTTGTTGAGAACTGTGGACGAGTTAACTATGGTCCAGCTCTTGACAACCAACAGAAAGGTGTAGTAACAGTGTAGTAAAAATGGTCAAATATTGACATGGTTTAATTGCATCTCACTATACTATAATAATAGTTATACAACAGTTCGTTCTGGCTCTCAAATCCGATTGGTTGAGAACCGTGAGATATTGTACTGGTATCGCTACAGGAATGCCCTTTCACAATTTTGTATCACTCCGCTTGTTGTTGTTTTTTATTATTCACTGAGCTAATCGTAGAGTACGTTAGTTAATATAAGAAGAAACGTCTAGCTTCGCAGTCTCTCTCTCTCTCATTTGGATGCACGTCTTGCCGCATTGTTTCTCTCTTATAACCTCATTATTTCTCACTAATAACCTAACTGAAGCAGCACATGCCCTTGATATGAATTCTAAAAGTGACGTATGTTTAAGTCAACTTGAGCTTTGAATCCGTGGTGGAAGGAAGTAGTTCCGCACAAAAGAGGGTTTTATTAGGCACTCCGTTGTCTCTTGTTTAATTACATGTTCCGTCGAACTGTTGTATAAACGCAATATCACTCTCGTACTCGAGTGATACCGGCTCTATATCAGCAGTTGTGATTGCCTCCGGCACACAGTCATGCTGATATAGAGCCGGTATCGCTCGAGTACGAGAGTGATATTGCTCATATATGAGCAGGAGTATAGTGACCATAACAGCATGCTCGTTCATTTTCATTTTGATCCATGCAGGGCTTGTTGGTGATATAACTCTGGACAATGTACCTCTAAAAAAGTTCACCATGCACTGTTTGGATATGAAGACCAGTTTCATAAACAGGTTCATTCTGAGTATTTTTCACTGCATTGTGTATCTATAGTGCTATAATGGCTCGGGTAACTACAGCTGCATAACTGGTTTATCTGGGGTTTAAGAACTGGTGTTTTAAAAGCATAGGACAAAAGTAAAAGGAATAATTCACCCAAAAATGAAAATGCTATTTACTCGTCCTCACCCATCGGAACAGATTTGGAGAAATTGAGCATTACATCATTTACTCACCAGTGGATCCTCTGCAGTGAATGGGTGCCGTCAGAATGAGAGTCCAAACAGCTGATAAAAACATCACAATAATCCACACCACTCCAGTCCATCAGTTAATGTTTTGTTTAATGAAAAACTGTGTGTTTGTGAGAGACAAATCCACCATTAAGGCATTTTAACTTTAAACCGTCGCTTCTGGCCATAAACGAGTCCATAATCCAACATTTTCAAGTTAAAAACATCTTAATGATGGATTTGTTGATTACAAACTCACAGTTTGTGGATTATATGCTGTAACAAAGAGGCAGTGGCGTTAGGATCCATGTGCAGCTTTATTAGTTCACAAGGCAGGTCATACAGGCATAAATCGTTAACTGGCGTTAGACTCAACGAAGGCTGGGCAGAATCGTAAACAGTGTTCGTAATCAGGGTCGAGGCAGGCGGCAGACAAACAATGGCATGAATCAAGAAGGCAGGCAGGGTCAGAATAGGTAGGCAGCAAGCAATCGTAAACAGTCCAGGTAATCAACAGATATTCAACACAGGGCAACCGCTCAGAAATGTCTGGAAGGCAAAACAAGACTTCGCAATGAGATCAGGGAAGGCACAGTTTAAATAGACCGGGCAATAGGAAACACCTGTGCAGGTGATTAGTCTCCGGCATGGGGCATTGTGGGAACAGGAGTCCGAAGGGATCGCTCAGTACTCCGGTGATGGTTCCCTCTGGTGGTGATCGGAGGGAGCCACAGAGGCTGAATTTGTGACATATCCGCTATTTGTGGATGATTGTGATGTTTTTATCAGCTGTTTGGACTCTCATTCTGACGGCACCCATTCACTGCAGAGGATCCATTGGTGAGCAAGTGTGTAATGCTATATTTCTTCGAATGTGTTCTGATGAAGAAACAAACTCTCCATATTCCTTGAATCTCTCCATTTTTCTTAGACTGCAGTCTCAGAAATGGACGTCTGTTGGTACGAAGCCCACCTACCCTGCGTTTTTCAGAGGATCCCTGGTAGTGGATCAGCCCACAGATACTTTTTTGAAGCTGCCAGTGAGTATTCAGCAAATTTCTACACCGTTTTATTTCTGTGTGCTCACATTTGCTTTTCTTCCCTGACTGACATGTTTGCTCATAGCCTTAGAACACAGAAGACACAGAATTTGTTCTGTATTGTTGGCAGAATTGGAGTAAAGGGGTGGTTTTTGTGAACGGGCAAACTCTTGGACGCCACTGGTCAGTTGGTCCTCAGAAAGCCCTCTATCTTCCTGGTCCCTGGCTCAGGAGTGGAGATAATGAGGTAAATGACTGCATGTAAATAAAGATTTGACTGTGGTGAAGTATGACAAAAGCCGTCATCCATGTCTAAACTGGTTATTCTGCATTAATCAGTTATGTGTCTTCCTTTAAGTCCCTTACTTTTGTCTTCCTTTCGATCTTTTAGATTGTTGTTTTTGAGGAACTCAAAGCTGCGGAAACAATCCAGTTTGCTGAAAATCTAGAATACGGCAAGACAGTCGAAGTATCCACACAACTGTTTTGCACCCTCATATGAAACACACCTGCAGCTTTACAATGAATCTCAGGCTTACATCCATCAAAACAGATCTGAACTTGAATTACTTAAAGCAAGACATCACAAGTGAAGAGTACAGATTCAGCAATAGACTTCCCCATTTGATTAATCATATCATTAAGACAACTGTTTTGTATTACAGGTTTTCTGAACTATGTTTGAATATGCACATGAGACATTATCTGATTAAATATGTACTAATTTGCAAACATTTCCAGAACAGTAGTCTTAACACTGGATAAAGCCAGATTTTGATCTCTTTCTATAACTCTATACATCAGAAAATACTGTCAAAAGCAAGAAAAAAGGCACTTTCAACTTAGAACTTTTAACTTATATACAAAGAAAACCCCTCTGTAAAAACCTTGAGAATTTAAAGGGTTAGTTCACCCAAAAATGAAAATTCTGTCATTAATTACTCACCCTCATGTCGTTCTAAACCCATAAGACCTTCGTTCATCTTCGGAACACAAATTAAGATATTTTTGATGAAATCAAAACATAAACACACATAACACATAAAATGTTATATTTAAAGGGGAGAATTTTGGCTCCGTTCAGGAGAAAATAAATCATAGCCTTTAAACATAGTATTATAATTTATACTACAGACAGAGTAAGGATAATCTGTAATAAAATAAATATTTAAATGTGTATTTTAGATGTTTTCTTTCCTCTAGTTTAATAGAAGACATGGTATGGAAGCAAACTAGCCCCCCCAAAAAACAGACCATTGCATGAAAAAAATTGATTTTGCTTGTAGTGTCTTGTCTTATAAAATTCCACCTGTACCACCTGTATTAACTTATCATGAATCATATAAATAAGCACAACATATATTACTTGCAACAGGATTCTCTAAAATAAAAGAACATGCTAGACATAATACACTGTCATAAGAGTGCTGGTTTGCTTTGTCAGATCACTCTGAGACACATTCCACTAACTGAAGCTGGTACACGGACAGAGGAGACCTGTTCTTCTCAAAGTATGTTTTTGGTGATGATTATGGAAGTGTGCTTGCATTTAATCAGTCAATGTAATCAAATGTTTTCATATGATTAAGGGGGGGGGG